TTTTTTTCAGCTCAAAAAAATCAACTTCTTAATTGATCACTCTTGAACCTTTGAAAAAAGAAAAAAATTTTTTTCTAGACTTTCTTGGGAACTCGAAAAAAGGTTATAAGTATAGGTATAGTCGATGTGCCACGACTTGAAATTTCTTGGAACGACACTCCGTTGGGTGGCCGTGGCCGTGAAAGCGCCTTGCCTTTGCGAATTTCAGTCGCGCTTTCCATTTTTTCTTTCATTTGAAAATTTTCATTATTTTAATTATGTTTTAATAGTTTTCTCCGTGCCAAACTCATAATTATCTTTTCTAGTGGATAGACTGTTTCATTGATAAAAATAAAGTAGAGTAATTTTCGAATTTAAAGAGAAAATGCGTTTATAATATTTGAAAGTTTTTCATGAGATGGTTTTTGATTTTGTTCAATATATTCCGTTATTTTACCTTCATTGAGCCTTTATCGACATTTCTTTTTCATTTCAAAGAATGTAAATAATATCCCAATCAGAAATAAAATACACAGTGAATGATTTTTAAAAAAATTGAATGTTTCTACATCGACGAATTTTTATTTAAAAACAGATACATAAGTTCAAAGAAAAAAATCATTAGTTTGCTGGACATTTCGTTCAGCACATCGTTTCCACTGTTCCAATTGCCCACTGTTCACGCCATATTTCTGACTCATAGTTCAGCAATTCGATTTATCTAAAGCTCCATTTAAAAAGGAACGAAAAACCTTTCTTCAAATTATGGTGCATGTGCTCATGGAAGTAAACGTCTTCATTTTATAAGACACTCAATTTCTGACCATTAACGACTGCAAACAGACGATGAAAACATTAAAACATGGCCTTAAAAACACAGAAACTTTTGTAGAATATTGTGGTGTTTACGGCCTATTTCTCCCGCAAATCTTTTTGGTAAACCTTTGAAAACTTTTTTTGAGAAACGAGAAAAAAACAATATTAAAAGCAATTGACGAATACATGAAGTTTTTTTCAAACTTTTTATCGCTTTTTCGAGAAACATCATGAAATTTACTGTGTTCTTTTGTTTACATTTGTACAACAAAAATTTTTTTGCAACGATAATAATACATTTTGAAGACATAAAACAATTAAAAAAACGATCAAAAATCAGAATTAAAAACCAAAAATTAGCGTGGCCGAGGTTGGCAAATTCGCAAGATGCGCGCTACCGCACAAATGGAAACAGCGGAGTGTCGTTCCATGAAATTTCAACTTGTGGCACATCGACTATACCACAAGTCATTTTTTTTCGGATCATGGATAGTCGAATCCCATATCATCTGATAGAGCAGACTGTCAAAAAGTCAAATCCGTTTAGTTTTTTGAAAAATTGTGAGTTTGAGCCAAGTTATGAAGTTTATTAGTGGGAAGAAAACCACGAAATCTTGCGTTTTCCGATTTTTCGGCTGCTGTTAGGATTTGTTTTTCTATAGATTATAGAGGTTCTTGAAGTTTGCTCTTTAGGGACCACTTCATATCCCCTTACAGGGGCACTAAAGCTTGAAAAAGAGACCCTTATAGGGAGCAGTTTTTTATTCCTTTTAGGGGCTGTTTTTCACCTAACTTCTATAGGGACCTCTGGTGCTCCTAATATCCTGTTTTTTTTGCTAAAAGAGCTTGAAAATTTTTATATTTTTCGACTTACAATCAAAGTTTTTTAGAAACCGAATGTTTCATGTACACGGCTTTCGACACGACTAACAAAATAATCGTGATGGGATTCCGAGGAACTGTCGGAAATACTCAGCTTTCGGAAGAAATTGGAGCCTTTTTCCTGTTTGTTCCATTGATATTTGAATCGAAAATAAATGAAAAATGTTCCAGTGGGAAGAGGAAGTTCTTCAACGTTGGCTACGTCTTCGAGTACTTCTTCGACGCCTTCATGTACCTCTGGAATGGAGGTCTCAGCAGCCACATCCGCCAGTTGAAGTACCTTTATCCGGACTACGAACTTTGGGTTTCCACAAAACTCAATGAAAGGGAATAAAATGAGAATTTTCCAGGTTTGCGGCCATTCCCTGGGAGGTGCTCTTTCCTCTGTCGCCGCTTCTTATGTCGTTCAAATCGGCCTTTTCCAAGGCGAGAAAATCAAGCTTCTGACTGTCGGACAGCCAAGAACTGGGGACTATGATTACGCTATGTGGCATCAGAATACGGTTGGAAAAATCGAAAAAACAAGAAGTAGATTTTATTTTCAGTTCCCATATTCCTACCGTATCGTTCATCATAAAGATATTGTTCCACACGTTTCTCCTCAAATAATGCCTGATGGGGATGAGATGTTCCATCATCGGACTGAAATTTGGTGAGCAGTCTTCAAAATCCTCTGAATATGATTAGCATGATCAGAATCATTTTTGCGCTGATTAGAAAACATATCTGAGGTGTTAATTTCCAGGTACAACAACAACATGACAATCGGGTCGCCGTATCACATCTGCCTGGAAGCCGACGGGCCCCATTGCAGCAATACTCAACTTGATACCAGCTTTGAGGATCACATGATCTATTACGATACGGATATTGAAAAATATGGTGCTAGTGGATGTCCCAAAAAATAAATTTTGTGTGATTTCTTTTTTGAATCGAAAATTCGGGAAAAAGGAGGCGAGGTAGCGCAACAGGTCTTACTGGCTCACTGATATCAGGAAAGGACCTAGCGACGACTTGGCGCTCAAGCGGAACAAAAGCGGACGCGGACACTGGTAACGCAAAACGGACGTGCTCCAGACGTTTCTGACCGATTCTAGGGATCACTTAAGAGTGCTGGGGCTACTAAAGTGGTCACTAGAAAGGCTCCGACACGTCCGATTCGCGTCCCGTTCGCGTTATCAAGGTCCGAGGAACGAGAAGACGACTCGTAAAATTAATCTGGACCTTAAGAGAGTTTTTACCGACTTTTCGGGACTTTCAAAGTAAAAGGACCTCCCTAACCATTTAGGGAGTCCTATAAGGGTGTCCTTTATCCACAAACGCTCCAATGAAGGTCTACAGGCTTTCTGCAGAACCCCTGTAGTGGGTCCTAAATAACCCTTCAGGGGGTGTCCGAAAGAGGCGCCAAAGGGGTACTTTATTGGACCTCTGTGAGAAACTTTTTTCTCCCCTCTAGGACCCACTCCAGCTTTTACAGAATTCGAAAAAGACCGCCAAAAAAACTTTCAAAAAAGTTCCCCACCTTTCTGACTTTCAAATTTTCAAACAAAGCTTTTCACGGAACTCTTTTATCAGTCGAACTTGAGAACTTCTTATCAGTTTCCCCTGGAGAAATCAAAGATGGCGCATTCCAGCGTGTTGTTGGCTCCGCGGCTTTTGCTCGCAGAAAATGCTCCGCGAGCTTTTTCTTTCCGCCTTTTTGACGGTTTTGGTGGCCTCCGACAGTTGCGAAGACTGTCTTGCCAGTGGGAAACAGTTGGTTTTATTTATTTCTCATGAAAATTGGGGATATTTTATTGAAGACTGAGCCGTTTTTTTGAGCTCTCACATTTTATTAAAAAAAGTTCGATATCGGATACAGTGATTTCTGTAATAGTTCTTCGAAAAAAACTTTCTTATAATTGAAAAAAATTCTTTAAAAAAACTTCATATAATTTTTAGAACTTTCTGAGAATTTGCCATTTTTTTGTTAATCCAGATAAAAAGCTCTGAGTTCAACCTTGTCAGATTATCATACAGAATATGCTCAAAAAGGAGGTATTTTGATATATATTTTCAGAACTTCATTATCGTTTTTTTTTGACATGATATAGCCTTTTAAAATTCAATTATAGTAATGTAAAGGCGAAGGAGGCGGGGCAAGGGGCGGGACGCGTAGCGTGTGCGTTTGCGGTTCTTGGCACGTGTTCAATTCAATCGCCGCCGATTATTTAAAAAGCTCGGCAACCGCTCTTTTTCAATGTTTTCTACTATTTTTTGATGCACACATGAACATAATCAATAAATGATTGAAAAAGGAATGAAAAGAGCGAAAAAAAGGGCTTTTCAAAGAGTCGATGGCGGTTGAATTGAACACGTGCCAAGAACCGAGAACGCGTCCCGCCCCCTGCCACGCCTTTCAAGTCGGGAAACATTGACTATAAAATCAATCAATAAATTTCTTTATTTGAATGAATGTTTATTTCGCTCACAGACAGATCTGTGGCGTGGAGGAAGAGAACCATGAAAGTTATATTTGCCTCCACTTCGATAAAGTTCCACTTTAATCTAAAAAAATATTTTTAGGTCGAAATCGAAGAGAATCAAAAAAAGAAAAAAGTAATCTATAAACGAGTTGAATCATTTTGTGAAATTTGCAGCTTTCTTATCAAAAACCAATTTTTTTCAAACAACTTTCAAATCTTCTTTGGTCATCCTCAAAAAAACCATAACTCTGTTTAAGCCGTTCCAGTATTTATACACGCGTTTCGTAATAAAGTTATAGTGAACATGATGGATTGGTGGTGGTTCGAGTTTTAAGGCCGTTGCCTCTCAGTTGGTTTTCGTCTATTTGATATCGTTTGTAATTTGAATGGAGATGGACACCAATAATAGCCATATATGAACTGATGTGTAATTATGATATCTTTTTCGCAGACGCCTTGTCCATAGAGTGTCTAGAGAGAGGGATTTTAGTCTTACAGCATAGGTTTCTTTTTGGGAGAAGCCGTTTGGTGAATTTTTCTTTGAACCGATTCTAGCCTGTTTATGTCAGATTGGGTTAGTGGAGAGAATAGCTCCGATCCATACTCTAAAAATTGGTAGAATTTTTGGCTTTATAACAGTTCATAAAGTTTTTTTAACGGAAAAAGTGAAGCAACGGAAAAGATTATTGATTATACGAATGCTTTTTTTGACTATTATGTCGATATGATGATGCATTTTCAGATCGGAACTGAAATTAACTCATAAATCTCTAATCACCTCTTGTTTGGGGATGGATTCCTCTCCTATTCTATAGTCGTTCCAGATTCCCCTTCTTTTACCATACCGCACATAGACGCTTTTAGAGCTAGAAATAGATAGTTGCCTTTCTAAAAAGCCAGTATCTTATTGAGTTAATATCTGATTGCAGCTTGAGGTTATAATTATCAGTTTCTGAGCTTATGAATAATTTTTACGTCATCTGCATAAATGAGCATTTTGCTATTTTTTTACGACACTAGTTATATCATTTATGTATATCAAGAAAAACAACGGTCCTAAGCAGCTTCCTTGTGGAACCCCAGACAACACCTCGGTTTCGTTGGATACCTCATCATTGAGGCGGACAAATTGAGTTCTATTGGTTAAGTACTGTGAAAACCATTTGTGTAAGCGACCTTACTTACTTTGATACTTTGATGGTCCATCTTCGCTGATGTTCTCAGCGTGGACCACACGTTCTCCAGGCGGCTCGGTCTTGCGCGACGGTCATCCAGTGGCGGCCTGGCTGACTGATGTTCTTGCGGAAGTAGTCCGTCCATCTGGTCGGTGGGCGCCCGAGTGGGCACTTGATGTTTCTCGGAATCCAGTGTGTTAATCTCGTGGACCAGCGGTCGTCTTGTCTGCGGATGACGTGGCCGCCCCAACGATGTTTCCCGCGTTGTATGTGCTCTTCTAGATCCCGGATTTGGGATAGTTGACGGAGGTCTGTGCTCCTCTGTTCTTTTTTCCACCGCTCGAAGCGAGTGGTGCCGATGAGAGCACGTTCCAGTGCGCGGTAGGAAGTTCGTAGGGCGGTTGCATTTTTCTTCGTGTCAGGCCAGACTTCGGTACCGTAGGAGATGGCAGGGATTATCGACGCTTCGAAGATGTGAGCTCGCAGTTTTGGGTCTTTCAGCTGACTGGTGACTTCTTTGATGGAAGGCGGCCCATCCAGCGCGTTTGCGTCTGCCGATCTCTGCTTGCAGGTCGTTCACCATGTTTACTTCCCGGCCAAGGTAGATGTAGGATGTGACCTACTGAAGGTCGCGGCCCTCAAGGGTGACTTTGCCTTGGTCGCAGAAGCGGTTCTTCATCCACTGCGTCTTCTTGACGTTCATCTTAAGGCCGATCTTCTTGCCGACTTCGTCCAGATCGTTCAGCATAGAGGAAAGTTCGGTGGTGGAGCTTGAGAAGAGTACGATGTCGTCGGCGAAGCGGAGGTTTGTGAGGACCTTGCCGTCGATGTTGATGCCTCTGATGTCTGTACTGTCTTCCCAGTCGTGCTCTTCGTCCCATCCAAGTTGGCGCATCGCGTCTTCTAGTGCCGTGGAGAACAACTTGGGGGAGATGGTATCTCCCTGGCGAACACCTTTCCTGATGGGGATCGAAAGCTTCTTGTCGAACAGCTGGATGGTCGTGGACGTTCCCTCGTTGCTGTTGGCGATCAGCTCGACGTACTTCGTGGCGACTCCGGCGGAGGCAAGAGCATTCAAGACGGCGTTGATCTCCACGCTGTCGAAGGCCTTGTAGTAGTCGACGAAGGCCAACGCAAGTGGCATCTGGTGCTCCCGGTGCCGTTCCACCACCTGGGTCAAGGCGTGGATGTGGTCGAGGCAAGAGTAGTTGCGTCGGAAGCCAGCCTGCGAAGGCGGTTGGAAGTTGTCGAGTTGCTTCTCTAGTCTGTTGACGATGACCTTGGTGAACAACTTGTAGACGACCGATAAGAGGGAGATCGGTCTGAAGTTGTTCAGGTCGGTGAGGTCGCCCTTCTTCGGAATGAGGATCGTCTTGGACGTTTTCCATTGTTCAGGAATAGAGGCTTCGCTCAGGTACTTGGAGAAGTGCCGGGCAAGTAGTCGGTACAGCGAGTCTTCTCCAGCCTTCAGCAGTTCGGATGAGATGTTGTCGGGTCCTGCGGCCGTTCCGACCTTCAGCTTCCTGATGGCGTACTTGACTTCTTCGGGAAGGATCGGGGGTTCATCTTCTGGTGGCGGCGTTGGTGTTCTGGGGACGGGAACGTCGCTTCGGAAGAGTTTCGTGTAGAAGTCGACCGTCAGGCGCTCCATCTCGTTCCTTGACGTCTTCAGCTGGCCGTTCTCGTCCTTCAGTGCTGTCATCACCGTTCGCTCGTCGACGAGCTCGAACTTCTTCTTCTTGAGGCTTTGACGTTTCTCAGCTGTCTGAAGAAGTGCACTCCTGCGTCGGTTGGCTAGAGACTCTTGCACGGCCATTCTGCAGGCTTTGTCGATCGTCAGACGTTCCAGGTGCGTGGCCTGCGGGTCTCGTTTGAAGCGACCTACACACCCATAAGCTTTTAACATTTTAATGAGCCTCCTATGCGTGACTGAATCGAAAGCTTTACTAATATCTAAATAAACAACGTCCACATTCTGATTTCTACTGGCGCACTCGATTAAAAACTTCTGTTTTTGAAGAAGTTGCGTCGTTGTATTTCTATTGTTGAGAAAGCCGTACTGTGAATCAGAGAGTATATTGTTGCTCCATAAGTGATTTCTTAAAGCTCGGACAGTAATAGATTCGAAGACACGACATGGAACGCATGTTAGGCTCACAGGTCTGTAGTTTTCCGCTTTTTGAGGGCTATTTTTTTTGAAAATTGGTCTAACTATTGATTTCTTCCAAAGAGAAGGCAATATTGAGGTATCCAATGACTTCTGGAATATTAGTGATAAAGGCAACGCTAGAGGAAGGGCAAGTTTTTTACATAAAATTGATGATAAGTTATCTGGTCCGGATGAGTAAAGAGGTTTTAATTTTTTCAATGCTTCATAGACTTTTTGAAAAATCTAGGGAGACCGTATGTGGAAAAAGACAAAATAAATATTGATTGACTTTTCAAAAATAGATTGAAAATCTTCAACTTGCTTTAATTTTTAGTTTCTGCGCAACGGTCAACAAGTGTGGATTTTCGCCATGTGCCACTACAATCACTGTAATTTCTTTCTTTCCGTTTTAAATTCAAAAAAAAAAACGCAGAGGTTGATCAACTGCCCAAGTCTTCCGGATGCGGCTCACGCCTACGACGACAACTTCGCGAGGACCAAGTTTTTGCCGTTGATTGGCGCCGGCGCCACAGATACGCCAGCAAAATGCTTCGCGTGAGTTTTGTTAGTTTTTCTGGGAAAAAAAACTCTAGTGGTCACTTAGGGGGTTTCTCAAGGATTAATTGTAGAGGACGCTAAAGTGGCTACTAAACCACATCTGTAGAAACCACTACTTCTAGAAAGCCACGCCCCTTTGGCTTCAATTTTTAGTTTTCTTCATATTCTCCTTAACCTACAGAAACTACGCTATATTTTGAAGACTTGAAAAATCACGAAATCGCATGAAAAGCGCACCCGACCTTGAGCGACTTGCCAAAAATTGTGAAACTGTAAAAACTCTAGTGGCCACTCAAGAGGTTTCTTGACGACAATGAAGTGGCCACTAAAACCACCTTCATCTATAGAAGTCACTTTTTTTGTCTTAGTGGTCCCTACAGTATTTTTAGTGACTTAGTAGTACCCTTTAGGCTCTTAAACAGGCCACTAAAACATCGAAACCCTAAAGTGACCACTAATTTTTTTAAAAGTAAAAACCTATTTTTTCAGGAACAACTGGCCGACGATGAAGCTTTACAACACGATCCATATCAATTGCTCCACCTATGGACCAGGTAAAATAAAATAAAATCTCCCAAAAAATCTGAAAATCTCTTCAGAAGCCGGCTGCTTCATGTACACGGCATTTGACACGACCCAGAAAATTATTGTGATGGGATTCCGAGGAACTCAAGGAAGTACTCAGCTTTCCGAGGAAATCGGCGCTTTCTTCCTGTTTTTAATATAACTTCGGAACTTTTCATTGATTTTTCGAAGTTCAGTGGAAAGAGGAAGTTCTTCGACGTTGGCTACGTCTTCGAGTATTTCTACGACGCTTTTATGTATTTCTGGAACGCCGGACTGAGTAACGACATTCGCCAGTTGAAGTACCTTTATCCGGACTTTGATCTTTGGGTTTTAAGACTTCTCTTGATTATATCTACCTGGAGAATGTTCAGGTAACTGGTCATTCCCTAGGAGGTGCTCTGTCCTCTGTCGCCGCTTCCTATGTGGTTAAAGCCGGAATTTTCCAAGGTCAGAAAATCAAGCTTCTGACTGTCGGACAGCCAAGAACTGGGGACTACGATTATGCTCTGTGGCATCAGAATACGGTGATAAAAGTCGAAAAGCTTAACCTAATCGATTTTTCCAGTTCCCTTATTCTTACCGTGTTGTTCACCACAAGGATATTGTACCACATGTGGCGCCTCAATTGATGCCTGATGGGGATGAGATGTTCCATCATCGAACTGAGATTTGGTAAGGATTTCAGAAATTTTACGAGTTCAGCTTCTACAAAAAAAAAATTTTCAAACCAAAAACGGTTCTAAATTTTAGTTTCATGACAAAAATTGTTAGTTATACTGGTACTACTTTAAGTTCGAAAATTATTGAAATTGGGGAAAAAAAGTTGTCGAAAATTAAATAAGTCTACCTGAATTTTCACAGGTGTTACCCTTTTTTAAATTCTAACTTGAGCTAGCCGTTTCTCAAGAAGTTCAAATCTTGTTGAAATTTTATATTTTCATTCAGCCCACTTCAGCCTTTGGATAGTCAATCTTTAACTCTAATTTGAAAGTCAATGTTAACCCTTTTTCTATATTAAATACTTATTTTAAAAATTTATGGATCAAGTTTAAATTGAAGGTACAACAACAACATGACGATCGGGGCGCCGTACAACGTCTGCAAGGAGGCCGACGGTCTCCACTGCAGTAATACCCAAGTTGACACTAGTTTTGATGACCATATGTATTACTATAATACGGATCTTGGGGTTTATGGTCCCAGGGGATGCCCAAAGCAATAAAATTTTAACCTTTTCTTGGAGTTTCGGGATTTTAAAGCTTCTAAACATTTCAGGAACAGTTCTGTAGAAGAAAGCAATAAAATTTGATTTCTTCTTATAATTTCGACTTTTTAAGGCCTTTATATAAATTCAAGTCAGTTCTTTAGATAAATTACTCAAGTTGTATTACTCCGTAACGAGAACCGGGGGTTTCTGAGAAATTCTAGGGATCACTTAAGAGTGCTGAAACTACTAAAGTGGCCACTAGAAACGCTCCAAAGTTCGGGGCGCGTCCAGTCCGCGTTACCAAGGTCCGAGTAAAAATATACAGAAGTTTCTAAAATTCGCCAAAGTTTATAAAATTCTCTTTGAACCCCAAAGCAGTGGTGATTGAACTATACACAGATTTGATTTTTTTTTTAAAGCTCAAATAACTAAAAAAAAAAATGTTTATAAGAGCAATAAAGGCACAAATTAAATTCTGAAACCGTTCTCTGATCACTTATATACACTTATCTTATTTACATACAATTAACAGGAAGTTACAAATATATCAAGGATGAAAATCTACAAGTTCGAACTGTTCAATCATCTGTCCAACCCGTTTCAAGATTTCCCGGCCGTTTTTGTCGAAAGTCTCGTGGAATTTCTCGTCGTTCTCCGCCGGCATGTTCCCTCGGAGACTGGCCACAAACTGGGAAATTTCTTTTTTTTTTCTTTTGAAATATGGCTCACTTCTTCTCTGTAAGGTAATGTGCACAGGGCCGCCCAAACGACCTTCTGAACCACCCAGGAATGATGTTTTGAGAGGGTTCTGTCATAGGAATGTTGGGCGATTTTTGAGACCTGAAGAAATGGAGTGAAAGGACTATTTTTTTGACATATTAGAGGTGTGAGAAAAATTAAGAATATTTTTTTGACTAATTTTCGAAAGAAAGTGATAAAAAAATTGAAAAAAATTCGTAAAAAAATAAGCCAAAAAAATTAAACAAGTCCGCTCTGTGGACAATTTATTGAACTTTCTGTCAAACTCTTTTTTTTAAATGTTTTTCAAGCCTTTTCAAATCATAAAAAAATGTAGAAAAAAATTTTAAAATCATCAAAAAAATTTGTACATTACGGAGAAATCTTAAGAACTTTTGAAATTAAATTTTTTTCAGTTTTTTTGAAACTGATTTTTTGATTCTAGTGTTTTTTTCCGTTTTTTTAAGAGTTTTTTTGAAATAGTAACTTTTTTTTACCTTGGCAGCCTCGTCCTTCTCGCTGAAAACGTTGTGGAGCAAGTCTATAACGAACTCGAAGGCTCTGAAATCTCAAAATTAATAAAAATCGAAAAATCTACTCTAGTTCATACTACCTTTCAATGGAGTTAGATCCGAAATGGACCTGAATTTAAATTATCCTACCTATTCAAAATGATCAATTGTCCACAGCCGCTCCTTGGTTTTTTCTTCCGAATCGTTTCATTTTCCTTCTCGAACTGAGCCATTTTCAAAACCGAACTGAGATTTTAAAATCATAAATTCTATATTTTTGATGAATTAACCTATAATGTTGTGGTTTGTCTGCCTGCATTTCCTCCAATTTCACAATCTTCCCCGTCACGTCTTTCACCACGAAGGAAAATACCGTACCCCAATTGTTCATTATCCTGGAAATATTATTTTTCGATAAAAACTGTCTTTTCACTTTTTTTTTACCTGCACAAGTGAGTCCATAATAAGCAATATTGTTCGAGATTCACGTCATTTTCATCAAGAATACATCTTCAACTAGAAATTCCAATATATTATAAAAAGAATTTATAAACTTTTTCGATGATATCCATCAACATGTACGGGTCGGATTCTTCACACCCGGCGAGATCATCTTCGATTCCCTGAAACCAAGAATTATTCCGTAAATATAGAAAGAATAAATACTCACCATGGTTACAAACTATGTCAACTTGCGAATGAATCCTGAAAATGTGTAATCGTAAGCAAACAGAATGTGAAACTGATAAACAAAATACGAGAGAAGGGAGAAATGTTTATTTTTGGGCAGATGACGCCACGGAAAATAACAAATGTGCTTCGAATCAAGCTTTTAATCGTTCGAAAAAATTTCGAATTGGAATTTGGGATGAAAATAAGAAGAAAATTGTGAACATTTAAATGAATTCGAGCGTTTTTCTACAGAAAAAGAGCCGTTTATCTTCTGATTTGCGCAGAATAATATGTATAAACCTCTACTAATGTTTTTTGCAAAAAAATGCATTATGATTACACAAAATAAGACGCCGCTATTTAGTAACCAGGGACATTGCCTCAACTACAGTATACCTGTTCGGTTGAGCACTTTTGCCTCATATTCCATATTTTTTTACAGACCATTGTTTTTTTAATCGTTTTTTCCTTTCCCATATATTTGAACGGTTCACTGATGGCGTTTGCAATAATCGCCATTTTTCAGTAAAAAGTCAGAAAAAGAAGCTGTTCTCGGATATCTTCCGGCAAACTTATATTCACCCTTCAACCACGTTCAAAAACAGTTTTATTATTAGTTAGTAATGGTTGAATTTGAGTGGGTTCATATAGTCTGTTCAGATTTGGAGTGTCAAGTCATCGCTTAAACAACGACTTTACTCCAGAAGAATGCGTGTAAAATTGCGGTGTCCTGTCGAGCAATGCCAAAAAGAGCAAAGAGAAGATAACTTTGTGCGGCATCTTGTATCAGCACATAATGTACAAAAGCTGGAGGCTATAAAAATGAAAGACAAGTCAAAAATTGAATCTTGTAAGACAGGTTAGGAAAGTTCAATGAGGCATCCTTACGCTAATTCAGAAACATCATAATGAGAGTTGCGAAGAGAGAAGAGCCGAACATCACAAAAACTCTCGCAACACTACATTCGGAGTTGGTTGACACGAAACAACGTTTTCTTTCTTCTGTTTCTCTCCCGCCTTCAACTGATTTCCAAGAAATACTTGTTCGTCGAGAAAAACTACTTATTCGTGGTGGTAGCGCTCCACGAGACCTTCCGATTGATCTGCTCAAGGTAAAAAAATTTAAAAAAATCCAATATAAAAAATTTTTTTCACAAAGGTCGGAAGTAATCCGTCGAAGAGCTCCGAAACACGCGAAGAAACCTTTTTTTGTGAAAAAAATTCGGCGATCTCGCACTGCGCTATTTGTTTCAATGTTTTATTTCGAAAAAAATTCCTGAACCTAAAAGTTTATCTCACCATGGTCAGAAGGATTGCGGAGAAAAGTAACACTGGAAATGATCGAATGGCTTAAGTGTACGTTCTGCGCACTTTGGGCCCATTTGCTGTGTACAGAACAACTGCCTAGAAGGAAGTGTCTTTGCTCAAATGGCATCTTCGAATTCAATCAATCAATTTCGAGCGACAGCGATTAATTTTATATCCGAATCATAGTATTTATGTTTTTTTTATGCAATATTGTAAGATTTATCGAGAAATTTAGAGCTAAACTTCAAATCCAAATTTGATTAGTAAAAGCCCATTATTTGCATCCTATAGTCTGTTTAGATTTCCAAAGTAAAGTAACAAACTCCGTCCCTAAAAAGCTCTCTATGGATGACTCTCTTTCTCTCTCTGATTGGTTTGATATACGCATAAGGTGTGGAGTTTAAGCGATGACTTTTTACACTCCAAATCTGAAAAGACTATATGAACCCACTCAAATTCAACCATAACCATTACCAACTAATAATAAAAACTTTTTTTGAACGTGATTGAAGTGTGAATATAAGTTTGCCGGAAGATATCCGAGAACAGCTTTTTTTTCTGACTTTTACTGAAAATGGCGATTATTGCAAACGCCATCAGTGAACCGTTCAAATATATGGAAAAGGAAAAAAAAACGATTAAAAACAATGGTCTGTAAAAAATATGGAATATGAGGCAAAAGTGCTCAACCGAACAGGTATACTGTAGTTGAGGCAATGTCCCTGGTTACTAAA